TGAAACGTGATACCTGCGCAAAAGTACAAAATTTTATTATCCCGTTATTATGACTCATCCTTCTGTAATATGCTTTACCTCTTTTCTTACTCTTAACTTGCACTAACTAAAGACAAATGTTAAAGTATGCTGTTCGTGAGCTTTCACGTGTACGTTTATATGAGATCACGATTACCCACACGTCAGGCAATTTACTTTATGAAGAATTTTTTATAAACTTTCTGAGAAGTTTACGTTTGTTTATTTTACTTAATATTTTGTTCGTTGCTTAAGCAGTAAATAGAGACCATTTTGTTATTCACTTATGAACGATGTACAGCGTACAATCGATCGGTGCATGTCCTCTACAGTTTGAAGAAATACCCAAGAGAGACTTGATGAAATGAATATAATAGAAGCATAAGATGTTGTGACGGTTCAATCGTATCAGCCTTTCCGTCTTTCTGTTTGTCTATGCGCATATAATAGAAGCTGTAGATCTTAAAGTTTGAAAATGGATGTCACACACCCGCACAATCTATTAAAAACTCTTTCTTAGAACGTATACCAATTACTCATTCGATACTTGGGCAATAGAGTCGGGCAAAGCTGACCATTACCATTACACTATACCACTTCGCCCAGTACAGTCGCTCATAAGACAACAAAAATTACACATTTTTTTCATGCAAGGAGCATACTTTTCGTGAAAGCTCGCATAATGGAAGATGCTCGAAAGATCATATGACGCGATCCAGGCTTGAAATTCTAAAAATTTTATAATTTTTCAGTTTCCATCATAAAAACGACTTTCTCTTCATATGTGAACTTCCTTTTCACGATAACCCCTATATATCGTTGAGTCCAAAAAATTAACTAATCTACAAATACAAATTCCCTAAGATTCATTTTTGTGCTAAATCGATCCATCATTCCATTTTTACCATGAAATAATGAATATTAGTGAATAGTTTTTTTTACTACATAAAGATTCAGTGTTCGTAGGGACCGCTATATGGAACGGATTCAAAAAATGTACTCACAAATTTACTGCTACTTAGTGAATTTCGTGGAGGAATTTTAAAAATTACATTGATTTTTCTTGCCACAACCTTTCAAAAAATAAAGCATTACATAGGGAGTGGTTAAAAAAGTTGACCGATTGCATCCATTTTCACTGGTGTTCGTTCTTGACTCAAAGGACGTCAGCGGACAATATAAATGGAAGCGTCAGAGCCCACACAAAGTATATAGATTCTTAATCAGCATCAAATCCCGAATTGGTCTAAGCATGTCTGACTGTTCATTTGTTCGTCTCGCTGCTTATCCATCTGCCCGTCTTTCCGTCTGTGTAAAGTTTGTGAAACATTGGAAGTTCTTGCATGCAAATTGGTATTAAAAGTGAACCAATCCAGTCGAAGGTCACGCCCACAGTACAACGTGAAGTGTGAACACTGTTTTCCAATGAGAATAAAAAATTTGTCTCCTGCGCATTACTCATACACTACAGCAGGTAAATCTATAAAAGTTTGAGCGTATATTCTATAGGGGATGGTGTGGAACCTCTACAAAAACGGGAGAATCGGGCATGTCTATTGAATTTTATAGTGAGACATTTAATAAAAGCTGATTATTGGCCCATTTTGCTAAGTTAAACTCGATTCAGAATCGTTTTCCGAATCGATCTAAGCGTGTATGTCCGTTTGTCCGTCTGCCCATCTTGTTTGTTTATCTTTAAATTACAAGCCGTAATTTTTGAGATATTTTGATGAAATTTGTTAGGTTAACGTGTTTTGTCCCAAGGACGAATGACAAATTGACAATGATTTGGTTTGGACGACTATTCCGACCAGTCGTCGTATAACACCATATTTTCAAAAGTCATTATGTGAATAACTGTTGGAGGGCGAGGGAGAGTATTTAATAGCGAGCCATGGCCCACTTCTTTTCATAACGTTACTTATTATTATCATTTGTTCAAGGTAACTACTACTTGCTTGTTCACCCTAGCAGATAACCCCATGACAACATCGAGTAGTTCTTGCTTTCCTTTCAAGTTCTGCCAAGAGTGGACAAATAAGTATGGAAAATATTTTTTTAATTTTGAGAATTCCATTAGATTTATTTTAAGAATGGTAAGTAAACGAAGCCCACAAGGCAATGAGCCGTCAGATTATATCAGGAATGATAAAATTCATTCACGCCCATACTCTTTCTATTTCAAGTCAAGTCAAGTGAAAGTCTCTTAGCAATTTGTGATCTTTAAGAAACAAGGTCGATCGGATAGGATAGTACGCCTAGTGGAGCCAAGTCATACGAAATAAAAAGTTTCAAATTTCTGTTAATTACTTTCGTTAGCTTTGTAAACAATGCTCTGTAAAGAAATCTGATTTTATATTAAAAATATGTTATATATGTTAGGCACAATCCTGTGATCTGATCTGATTACGGATAACACGCAAACAAAAATAATTTCATGTAGCATTATAAATAAAAAATTCAACCTAAGTTGAATCTAATATTTTCCCACTGTTGTATTCTAACTATGTTATATGTATATACATGTAAAAACGCATTTCTATTTATGTATATAATGATTGTAGTCAAATAGAAAGATTTCATAAGGATTACCTGCCAATTATAACGGAAATTACTTTTCTAAAATCCAATTAAATTTTCGCTAATGTTAATAATTGAAGACATTTTTGCCAATAAATTTAAGAAGATAATTATTCAGATAATTTACAGAGATATTAAATGAAAAAACGACTGCATAAGTTGATAACAGTGAGATAACTGTTAACTTAATTTTGAAATGCCTTACTGCAGTCTATGTTTATTCATATAACGATTTTTCAAAATAAGCCATTATGTGGGAACTTGTGCAATCCGAAACTTTTTCTAAAGGCTTCGTCCTTGGGCCAAAACATTAAAATATCTGAATAATTGCAGCCTATAGATTTAACACAAAAACACATGGACAGACTTCTTGGGGAGAGACCAACAGACGTACAGACAAGCTTACATCATTTTCTGTATCTATCGGTATAATAAAAGTTGCATCTATCTTAAGCTCTTTTGGATGTTACATATATCCGTACAAACATATGCCACAACTGGTATAGGGTATAAAAATCGTGCAGAATACATTTTCGATTTTCTGAAGACGCATTATATCATAATCGTACTATGCTGCGCCAAAACAGAGCCTTACAAGTATCGTTACAAAAGCGAAACGCCTGCACTGACCGTTCCTAACTCTACAAGGCATTTATTGATAATATTAGTTCAATATTTTTTATAAGCTGTAAAGTAAATTTTTACCCAAATTACGTTTATATGCTAAGTCTTCAATTTAAATCTCATTATCTGCGCAGTTAAACGCAGTTAAAATTTACGCTGATTAGGAATGCATATAACTTATGGGATCCTGGATCCCTATTTCTGACCATTTTGAATTGAACAACACATTTGGCATATTCTCAGGTTACGTCATAGTATTATTATTATTAATTGCGTTGGCAAACCGTACCGCGACCTAGGAAATCTATTATACTCGTCCATGCCCCTAGGCCTCCATTCCAGTTTTAGGAATGGTGTCTGATTCTGCATAAGGCCACACATTCACATAGAAGAGACGTCTCCCTCAACGTTTGACAGAATCTGCATGAATCTGTATCGGACATAGCCATGTTTTTCACATGGTACCTGAGGGAATTATGATCCGAGTAGATAGCCGTGACCAAACATAGATCGCATCTTTTTAGTTCCGCTGTTGTCTTACACGTAGCTTCTAGCGGCAATCCGATTTCTTCTCTGCCCATTGCGATACCGGCTTGTTGATGTGTCTTCTTGGTACGCCACAGAAAGGTGCATGTTTCCTCAGGCTCCCCGGTTGTCTAGACAGTCAGCCTTTTCGCTGCACTCAACACCTGAATGGCCAAGCACCCATGTTAGGTGCACATAACTGCGCCTGCCTAGCTCATCTAGTATTTCAAAGTAGTCCAATACAAGCCCATTTGCCCCTTCAGACTTTAAGGCGCCTTGACTGTCAAAGCAGATCCGCTCTCTGTCGCACTGCCTTCGCAAGCAATCGAAGGCACATGCAAAGGTTGCGTAAACTTTCGCATGAAACATGGATGTACATGATCTTCTGAAAACACGGGCCACAAACCCCAGCTCCAGTTTTGCCATTTTCTAATTTTAAATCGTCGGTGTACCAATTCCTTGATTTCACGACAGATTCAAAAACTTGCCCGTCCCCGATCTGACCGTCTGTGGTCACTCTGAACCGGTGGGACAGTACTAGCTTTCCAGGAAAATGGTTCGGTATCTTGATAAAAGGTTCGTCCCTGAAATTTTTTAATACCTCTAGACAGCCACTCAGATTTCAATTTGTCCATATTCCACAATGGCAGTGCGCTCATGATCTTTTTCTATAGCAATAGATAGAGGAGTAATGCCCAGCAGCGCTTCTAAGGCATTTATGAGGCACGATTTCATCGCTTCAGTCATACCAATGCACGCGAGACGTAGAGTTTTGTTTAATGTCGTCATCGCTGTTTTTGCTTTACCTTAGGCCACCAGGCCAAAGCTGGATAGGTTAGCATAGAAAGTTGATTACGGTAGTGTAAAATTCAGTAGATCACTTTTGGGCTTATATCCCATATTTCATCATATTAGGCGCTGACAGGGAAAGAGTATTGTGGTCGCCTTTTCCGTTAATCATCTTAAATGATGCTTCCACGTGAAGCCGTTGTCGAAATAGACACCCAGACATTTCACCTCATTTCTATAGTCAAGGAAAACATCTCGTAGGTGGACGTTGTCCTATATTAATTTCTTCTTTCACGAGATAGGCACCAGAATCGTTCTTTTATAGATTAATCTGTAATCCTTTATCTTGGCACCATTTGTGAATTATGCTTAGGACTTTTTGCATGCGTTCAGTAAGCGTTTCTTCTTCGTCATAGTATAACAATTTGATAGTAAAATCATTAATGTTTTAAATTTTTTTTCAGATACTGTGTAGAGTTTGAAGTCCTAAAGTCTTCCAAGACCTGCCATAAATTGCCACCGTACAACTTAATGATAGAAGGTTTTGATGATTTATTTACTGATTTTTTTTTTTTGTTTTTTTTTTGGCAATCTTCAATTTTCATTCATTTCCTTTCTTTCACCAGGTGATCGTATTACTGTGCGCTGCGATCTAGAAGCTTTTGTCTACGATAATTCCAGATCAAATTCTGTTAAAAACGACACACATAAGTCCCAGACTCATTTAGGAACAAATTTGGAATTCATGCAGAATTCTCAGCAACAAAATCTTGATGATGATAATGACAGTCTAGAGGAGAACGACGAAGAGGAGGATGATGAAAATATGATAGACGGAAGCAGTAGTGATCAAGAGCAGCAGCAGGATGATTATGATAGTTTAACATTGAAAAGGAAAATCCGGACTACTACCAGCACAACAACAACGACTACGACCACAATTGCACCTGCGTTACTAAACACTCCACCGAACTATCATTGTCGCGGCGAAGGCCTGCCAGGACGAACTACGCGATGGAGTGCTTTAGCTGCGCCATCTTGCCGCGGTAAATGGTTAAGGCTTACTCTGAGAACACCTAAAAAATGTACACATGCGCAATTCATTTATGTTTAATTGACATAATGTAAACATAACACTTGTATGCTTTTCGATGATTTATATATAAATGAAAAATTTTTATTTTTTTTTCTTTCACCATATCTTACAATAAGAACTTCTTTTCATCTCCAAACATTGGAAAGAGATAAACTTAAAAATTAAAAGGAAATACCTTATTATGTATGTAGTAGGTAAACAAATAAGAAAAAAAAAAAAAAAACAGAAAAAGCGAAATATTAATAATTAAGTTGACGATCACCTTTCCTTATGAACCTACATGCAGCAATCATTACGTCATTTCGTTTTTAAAATCATTGCAAAATCAATGTGTATGAAATAAATGAATAAATAAAAAGTGAAAAACTTTCTTTAAGAAAGTTTTTAAATAGTTTTAAAATAATTGCAAAAAGATTTATTTTTATTTTTAAAACTTGCCTAAGCTACGGTTTGTATAAATATCCTATATTCGGCGTATTAACGAATTTTCGGTACTCAACTATATCAAATAGTCCTCTATACTCAGAAACATCGATATGGAAAGTGTTATATGCCCATAAAATTATTGAAACTGTCACACACACACACAAACATTATATCTCATTGTGTTTAAAGACCTTTTGGCATCACTCGACGATCTTCATTGCACCTTTCGCATGAGCACTTGGGCATTTCTTGACAAGAGGTAAATAGTGTTAGGATTTGAAATGAAACTGGTGTGGAGACTCAAATGAATTAATAATCTATAGGTGACAGATTCAAAGACAACTGAATCCCAACATGGAAATAAATTTTGAAAAATTATGAAAAAAAACATTTTTAAATCGGAGTAAGCAATGGCCATTTGTTGACGAAATGAGACTGCTCCTGATTAGTCACTTAGCAAGCATCCCTTGCAACCATAACCAGGCGGAGACCATGACCGACGATTAAATATTTCATCTGTGTAACCGCTTTAATCTCCGATCGTATATCATCGTTAAGTATGATTCATTGAAAACGGGCAGTCTTCGTTGAACGTTGACTTTGCACTCAATTGAACTTTTTAGTAATTAGATGACCATATCGACAGCATCTTAACAAGATGAAAATCCAGCCAAAGCATTGTCCGAACACTTGTTGCCGCACCTTTATTATTACCGAATTCCTTCCGATGATTTACGAGCGCTTCCTTTTCTTGGCAAATGACTGAAACAAAACGCATCGAATATACATTTATTGCATGTTCACAAAAGATATTTAAACTTCATATACGTTATTTTAAAATAATTATAAAAATTTCTACTTTCTCTTGGTAAAAATCCTCCACTTACATTGTCGCACTTACGCACATAAATCTAAGCGCCGTATGTTGAATATGCCGACGCACAATTTTCATTCTTGAAAAGTTGGACGAGCTAATTAAATTTTAGTTTTTAAAAATATTTTTCTGATTTTGCTTTTAAAAGTTGTTTTCTTGCGTTTTTATGATATATGAATAAAAAATAATAGGAGAGAGTTTTGTTTATTTTGTTGCTAGATGCTGAATTATGCTGAATTATTGTGATGCCAAACAAATGAATCCTTTTTATCTTAGAAAAGCTACTGCAAGCGACATCTGTTGCAATTCCAGAGCGATTGTCGTTTCTCACTGTTTTCAAATTGGCGTTTTCTCAACAATAAGCAACGCCAGCATTTCATTGCATTATTTAACAACTCTTAGCTTTTATATAGCATGTGTGGTTATCGTGTAAAGCTAGTATCATGTGTGATTATTGTTATAAAATTCATACCGTGAGTGTTTGTTGTTGCAAATTGTAAATTTTGTTTACATTTACTCTGCACGTGCTATTGTTTACGTATCGAAAGTAAAGAAAAGTGGTGCCGTGTATATTTTGTTGTTGCATTTTTTAAAAATGTTTCTTTATTTATTTATCATAATTTTTATATTTATAAGTGTATATAACTGTAACTATAATATTATTATTATTATTATTATTATTATTATTAATAATTAAAATCCTTAGACAATAAATTGGCTTCTTTAAATTAAAACTAAGCATAGCTATCGAAGATAGTGTCAGACAGACGTTCACAAGCATTGGGAATATCAAGACTAAATATACTTTATAGTAGGCCTTTTGATAGACATTTGAATGCGTAGCCAAATTACAACAAGTAGTGGGTATAAGAGCAACGTAATAGATGAGATAGAAGTGATAAGTAAAATGGGCAATGTATCTCATTCTCTATTTTCCAGTTAATTCTGATAAGAATTATAACAACAATAAGAACTGAAGGGGCAAAAATTTACTCTCTGCTGTGAGTTCGCTCGCTCTTTACAAAGATTAAAAATATCAAATCAATGTCGTCCGTGTCATCTTATTGTTGTTGTTGTTGTATGCGTTAAAGAATCAGAAGAAAAGTTTATAAATCTCTGTCTTTTTTTATGTTTTTTTTTCTTTTTGCCTTTTTTTTTGCGTTTTTTATTAATAAAAACAATTAGTTAATAATAAAACGCTTAACGCAATAGAATTTTGTTTTCATAACCGAAGCGAATAAAGGAAAAACAAAAAATATTTTGTGAAAATGTTGATTTATATGAAAGTTAAATTTGAAAATTTTGTATCAAATAATTTGAAGCTAATATTATTACTTTCATTAACAATACAAGTGACATTAGCGCGACCGCAACAAGAGAAACAACCACAACAGCACAAATTTGCAACTGTGAATCCTTATCGTAAACTGCACTTTTTTAAAAATATTTTCTGTTCTCGATTATATTATATACACATATATATAAATATATTTTAATTTCGTTTTAGGTCATTATTTCACCTCGGCTAAATGCAAAGATTTGCTAACGGGTCGTGAATTATATGTGGGCGATTTTTTTACACGTTCCGGCCAATGCATACGTATACAGTGCTTGGGTACTTTGGAAATTTGGGAAGATCGGTATAAAACTTGCAATTCATTAATTAAATGAATTATTGTCTTCTTTGTTAATATTATTTCATTTATTTGTTAGTTGTCAAATTCCTAAATTACCCGATAATTGCAACTCTTTACCGGTAGCAAATGAATTTCTGGATTATCCTCGTTGTTGTCCAACATACGAATGCCATTCGTATACGACCAATCCGAATGGTGAAACAGAAACTCGTCAAATTTACGATCACACGGGCAATTTATTACGCGAATCATTATTACACGTAATTTATCAAAAAGTCTATGTCGAATCAGATAATTAAATCAGAAATATCGTATAATTTTTCAATACTTTCAATGATAATTACTCAAGTAAATGTGTTTTCTTGTTTTCTTCATTTCCTTAAATCTAACCGGTATGGCATAATTTGCAAAAAAAAATGTACTTCTCAGTTTTGACTGGAAGGCGTGGGATCTCAGAGAATATTACATAATTTCTTAACTGTGGGTACATATTTCAATTGCATAACATATCGCATTAAAAAGCGATAACCATCAAAGTATTTTGATTTATTTGAACCAAATCAGCGTACCATGCGTTCACTAAATGAGTTTTCGATCATCGCATAACCTAAACGAAATCAATTTATAATTTTCATATATATTTGGAAACGCAGCAGCTTATGTTCGTCAATGTCGTTTGGTGTCGCGTAAAAAAAATAGAAAAATATTAATCAGATTATACTATACGGTCCCTTATTATAACAATGCAACCATGCCTTTTGGCTAACGAACTTTCATTTCGAAGACGTAACTTGAAAACCATTTAATACTGCATTATATACCACTTTCGCTTTCGCAAAAAATCTAGATAATTTTATCTAGGCAAAAATGCCAAACTTGACGTTCATTTCTTACAACTATCAACAAAAGTATATCAAATTTTTGATGAAATTAAATAAAGCGAATTAATAAGCATTTTTAATAAAAAAGAGAACTGTAGTAACGAGTTGAAGCTTGAAGAAGAGTAGTCAATGTATAAAGTGCGCCCGCTGTTAAGCAAAATTACAACAAAAGAGCAATATTTAAATATTTTTTTGCTCATTTGCATAAATTCATTTCAGTAATCCTCGGTAGTACTTATAGGTCTTTGATCCATATAAGTAATTATTCTTTCTCAAGTAAGGGATATTTGCATCTTTTTATTTTAAAAATAAATCTCCTAATGTTAATTGCAAATTAAAACTTAATTTTATAATACATTTTTCAAAAGACGCTTCATTGTAAACGAGTCTACACAGAAACGCTTATATTTTCGAATAAATTTTAAATTTAATTTAAGATTCTTTATTTTACTTCAGCTTTTTGTTGTCATTCGTTCAACTTTTTTCTCTTATGAGTGCAACTCTGTACGAACAATACTAACTAAAAACGAGAGCTATGTAACAGAATGTATTTCACAGCTGTTAGCCATATGAAAAATAAAAAGCTTGAATTTCGAAAATGTAACTTGGCTTTCGCCATTCGTAATTACTATCATGATTTTGAATGTTAAATTCTTGAAACCCCTTGATATCCATAGCTGAGAGCGAAAAAGCCGCCAACAATATTTCGTCAAACAGCTGAAGACAATAGTAAAAACTACATTTTTCAATATTAACGATTACACTCGATTATAAAACGAAACTAATTCTTTTTAAATAGATATTTATATGCGACAAGAGCCATACACCGGATAATTGATTCATTTAATTATTATTAAAAAAAAATTTTTTTAGAAAAAAAAAAATGAATGTTATTCATATCTTGTAAACAATTCATTTTAAATATTGTTTCGTGTTCTCGAAGCATGTCACTTCTTAACTAACTTTTTTCCTATCTCCACACTATAGCGACTATATCGTATTAAGATATTAAAGCCTATTAAGCTTGATTGCTTTTTCAAGCCAACCGCGACACCAGCATTACCATATTGTTTCATAAGTAAAAATAAAGGAATCGATATGTGTCTACATACATATATAAGCTATAAAAGTTGGAACGAACTAAAAGAGAAAATAATAGTAATATAAGTGAAACAAAATTCTTAGATATATTATTATCAACACGTTGTATAAATAAAACAGTAAGTAAATGGAATAAAAAAATAATAGTTTTCGCAAAACAATCATAGCTAGCGGTGCAGGACGTGAAAACATACGAAAAAACATGTATGTACCTGGGAGGTAATCACGTGAGTTAGCTTTAATTTTCACATTCAGCTGAACACCAAAGCAAGTATTCAATATTTCGGATGTGAAAACATCTACAATCAAGCTAGCCGCCATCTTTATTACGATTTAGGCAAAGAGCTTCCGTGTTCAATATTCATGTGGGACCTTTTTTGCTCAGCACAATATATCCTCTGTTGTTGATTTGCTGAATTCCAGAATAAGAAGAAGAAGAGGAAAACATTGCGCAGTAAGACGATAAAATCTACATACAGTACCGAATTTTGCATTTAAGGATTGCGGATCAAAAAATATATTTCTTAAGATACAAAAACTTATGTTAAGTAACACTTCAAATTTTTTTTCTTTGACTTAAGGTTAAGTTATAAGCAAAAAATATACTTTCATCTCATAAAAACGACAAAAAAGTCTACATACAGCATCAGTAGAAGGTTCGAAGAAGAGCATCTCTATTTAACGGTATAGATTTAAATAACAATTTATCAACTAAAGCGAGCTTCTCCATTTCTTCTCCTTCACCAAATGTCACCAAATATACATCGTAGACATATTAAGAACTTATTCTGCTTGGCCCCCCTTCCCGTACCGCCAGATGACAATTCTGCAGTTTTATAGCATCTACAATGTCACGTGTAACTTTTTGAATTGTAAAACTTAAAAACCTGGACCTGATTTCCTACAATACTTATACTAAGCATAGTCCATAAAGTATATTACTGAGCGGATGTCGACAATTTCTTTTAGCACAAAATTTATATTTTTTTTAATAATTCGGATTTTATTTGCCTTTGTTTTTAGGGCCACTGTCGTTAAAAATTATTGGTTGAAAAGATCAAACAAAAGTTGAATTGAATGTGAGAAGATTGAAGAATATCTTTATTTAATTCGCAATAAGACAACTGATTGTATTTTATTTTTAAGAGCATCCGCCTGAGTAGCCGAAGGCGAGGAATCTCGACTAGCAAGTCAATGGTCGTGGGTTCGAATCTCAAGTGCGGTAAAGTTTTTAATAAAAGCCGATAGCCTTATATGCTAGTGCTTTTAAGAGTTTAGTCTTAGAATTTATTTCTCTGGCGAAATTAATAATAACAATATTTTTAAGAGTTATTGGGAGAGAAAGACGTGCAAACGATTTTGCTCTCTGAGAAATTTGGGATATTACATTAAAAATTGCGGAAAGAAGAAGTAAACGCAAACCGATAAAAATAAAAATATTTCCTGTTTTGTGAATAACAACCCTGTTAAAAGAACAACTATTTTTTTAAAGGATTTTGTGTGTTTGCTATTGTAAAGCTAGTAGAATGTGTGCTTGTTGTTACAAATTACAATTTTTGTTTACATTTGTCCTGCACGTGATCTTATTTACAGCAAAGTAAATTTTACACGCAAAAATTGATTTAATATTCTCAGCATTTTTTGTCTCTTAATTTTCTGTGTGTTTATATATATAACAACCGTTAATACTATTATTATCATTATTATTATTATATCCTACACCATTTGAGGCATACGGTATATTAAGTTCGTGCGGCCGTTTGTAACAAATGGAAGGGATCCACTTTTTAATATACCGATCGATTCAGAATCATAATCTGAATTGATCTAAGTCTCTGCGTCCGCCTGATGTCTGTTAGTGTAAATTTATGTTCAAGTTATATATCGCAAATTTTTGAGGTATTTCGATGAAATTTGGTACAGTGACTAGTTTTGACCTAGGAAGTATGCTGTGGAAATTGGTTCGAATCGCTCCATTTTTTTGACCAATCCCCATACAACGCCCTATTTTGAAATGTCGTTATATGGAAAAAAAATTTCAAAATTTCTAAGCAAAAGTAGTAGCATTTCTGACATTCTAAATCGGTATGAAAACTTTGGACCGGCTATGGCAACGTCGTGTCAACGGTAAATGAGTTAGGCGTGTGCGTTTGTTACATTTTTTCATATTTATCGTATGTTTACATCGGATAAAAAGATTTTGTAAATGATTTATGATATCTTGATTTTTCAAATAAAGTGTGAAATCGATTTATTCACATCTCATAATAATGTTTATAACATTAAATAAGATCTTTCTTTTTTTTACTCTGCTTTTCCTCATTCATTTTCCTTCATTCTCACTCTCAATCTTTTCATTACATTTTTACAATTCACACAACATATTTCCCCGTAAATGTATGCATGTGTGTTATGTTATTGTGTTAATACTACTGTACTAGTATACTGCGTAAAACAAGAGGAAGCAAGATGTGTTATGTAAAATTCAAGCTAATAAAATCTCAAGGAATTTTGGTATTTCTGTTACAAATAAAGGCAGCGGGGCTGTTAATTAGCATTCGTTTACAGAGAAAACATTCTGTTAATGGTATCTTGATATGACGTCACACAGCAACATATGTTCATAAAGCCAAAGTATATAGAATTTTATTTATTTTTAATTTATTTTTAATAATGAAAGTGCCTTCTCTTTAAATTTCGGGAAAAAGTAGAATGACTAACGGTGTGAGGAGTACGTATATAATGTCGGTGTTGCACGTAGCCATAACTTTAGAGTTATTGCCTCCATGCGCTTACCATTGGCTGGCCTATAGCGTCCCTACCGTAAGTATTGCACATGTTAACAACTATTGTTAAAATTATTGTTGTAAAATTTGGAAACAAAACGCTGTGCTGATCAAATGGAATGCAATCTTCATTTTTGCGATCAGGTGAGTGTCAAAAACACATACTTCACAGACGGAGAGACATGGCTTAATCATTATAGAATTTCATACTGACGAAGAATATATAGGGTCTCTGAGGCTTGCTTTTGTATATTGCAAACATTATCACAAAAGGAGTATACATACCTTCCATCTTTCAGTGGTGGGTGGGAAAATATAAATGATTTTTAAGATTCTTTACAACACACACAAAAATTTACATAAAAATTAAATAAATATTGAAAGTATGACTTCCTATTTTGGCTGGAAAAAACCTTTTGTATCTACTGTGATTTGCATAATTTTTTCTTATGATACAAGTTGTTCCCTAAAGCAATAATTAGGGATGGAATACGCTTTCAGGATTGCAAAAAAACTGTGCTCAGGCGTAACAATCCTATCGTTTTGGGCTGCCGGGATTTTCCATGCTTTGTTTCCATTGATTTTATAAGACGCAATTTTTGCATCAATTATTTTCGCAATTAAAACAATATTAAAATTATGACTTGCAAATTCGAAAAACCGAAGCAAAAAAGAAACGACCGAATTTCAAGACTGCATATTAAGTTTTATTTCAATCTGAAAACCAAACGAAACAATAATATAATAGGTAAATGTTTAGAGGAGGAAGAATGAATACTGAATTGTGAAATACATGTGCATGAATATTAAACTACAGTATGCATATGCATGCGTACGAGCAAGAAAGAGGCTACTTATCACTAACCCAACCTAAATCAAAACTATGGTAAGAAGACAAACGTGCTACGAACGTTTGCATAATTCAAATAAAAAACCGATAATTATTCCTGGCGGGAAGTAAATGTTTTAATGTGAGAAAAAAGCCCTTTTTTAGTGTTTTTGCTTATTTTTAAAAAATGTGTACACATATGAAGGCATTTAAATCGCGAAACTATTTTTACTTACGTTGACGTGGAATGCAAAACCATATAATTTTTGCCAAATTCCTACAAAACTTTCTAAATGGTTAAAAAAGTTGAGAAACATAAATAAGGAAATGAGCATACATGTAAACAATGAACAAACAACAGTGATGAAAAAGTTAGTGTAAAAGCAAATTAAATGATTAATTACCATCGCTAAGAGAATCTAATCGTGTTGGCAAATTTGCTGGAGATTTTCGCTAAATGTGTTCTCTCAGTTACGTCAAAACTGACGACAATATAATCGCTATTGCTGAGAACAAATTTGCATTAGTATTGAGCAGTATTGAGTAAAGTTTCCATAAATCTTGCGTTTAAACTTAAAAAAAAGTTTTTTTAAATAAAGTAGAAAAGAGGAAAATGAAAAAAGAAATTTCTTGTAAATCGATTATGATCACTTCACACAATTTTATATAATTTTCTATTCATTTCATTTTGCAGACTTGTATTGTTTACCATATGTAGTTTGTTTATACAGAATAAATACACGTCAATTTGGCTCTCATTTTTTTACATTTCTCTCTGTTATTAATGCATTCTATTGCAAAATTTGAGGGGAAATATTGGAAGACTGGCGATGATGATACCTATTTACCCTCTTGGCGATAATCAATTGTCTCCGAAAAAAAGCCTTGCGATAACCACGGCGACGATAGCGCGCTTACATTATTACCCCCCTAAAGATAGGGATAGCGTATCATTTTGTCAGCCTTGCAAACCAAACAAAATAATTTAAAAAAACCAATATGTGAAGCACGACAACGAGAAAAAGAATGTGAAAGCAAATAGGTCTTTTAATTGATTACGATTAAAAAAATTTGAGAAACATGAGGAGATATTGCTTATCACTTCTTATAAAAGAATATAGAGCGTAAGCCAAAATTCGGAATCATAGAATATAAAAATTTAAATTGACGCAAAGTAAGCATGAATTAGTAAAATAACTTCAAATTTAAAATACACATATAGAAAAGCAATGTGATTTGCCGATTATTAGAAAGCCTTGCAAAACGTTCAAAAATTGAAACTTCGTTGTGTTTTAACCCTTAGTCAAATGATGTCGTTCGACGAATTATCTTTGATTACAACTCTACTTTGGCATCTGTCGCCACGAATTTGAAGCTCAACGGCAAAATTATTGTACATTTCACAATTGTAGTTAACATTTTTGCCTTCGTTCATTGCATTGTATATGAAAATAAAAATTAAAAAAGGGATTGAAATTTGAAATCAATAGGTTCCCCAAATCGATTTTTATAGTTAATTAGGAATGATACAAAAATGTACAAAACAAAATGTAAAATAGTTGATAAAAAAGAGATTTGTTATTTTATAATTGAATGGTAAAGAATGCGTACATATAAACCATCTAAACCATAAAAAAACGCATATAACAACAACTTCTTATTGCAGCTCAACTCTCGAAATTGTTGACTTTTTAAATATTTTCCTCGTAATTTGCAAGTTTGTCCTTTTTCCTTTTAGCGGTAGCGCATATTACCTCAACAAACACACCGTTTGCCGAATTTTGCCTAAATGCAACTCTGCATCAGCACTTCTCATTGCAAGCTTGAATAGCAACGACAAAATTATTGCACATTTCACAATTTTACATCAGTTCGGCAGCGGCATTTTTTTTGCTTTCTTCATCTAATCGCATAAGAAGACTAGAAAAAAATTGAAAATTAAAATCACGCGAGTTAAAGAAATTCTTGTCATTAATTAACAAGAGCAGAAAAAATACGCAAAACAAAATTTAAGGTAATTGAAAGAAAATAACCTTATTTTCTTTGTTTTAATGGTAAGAAAATTTGCGAATTAATTGAACGAAGGGGCCTTGTGAGTGTGTTAAATGCGCAAACTTGTAGAAAATTCTAAAAGATGAGAAGAAAACTCTTCATTACTTTAGCAAATTCGGAAATCTTTGATAAAAAGCATTACATTTTCCGAAATCAGATTAAAAGGAAGAAAAAGTCGTACGGGTGTGTTGTGCTGTCTATGTGTGTGTATATGCTTTGTATAGACATGAGACATCAAGCCCGCATTGGCGGGATCGTTTTTTTTTTTTTTTCGTTTGTACATATTGTCTGTCTGTTTCTTTGGCTCATTCTTTTCTTTTTTTTCGTATTGCGGCAATTAAAGTTGGCGTCGCCTGTCTCAAAGAAAAGCATGTGTTTTTAAGTGAGTTTTTTTTCACCAGATTTCGATGTATTTAAATCAAATATTTTTTATTACAGTTATAGAAGAATTTCCTAAATGTTTATAATATTTATATACGTAAGGTTTACTCTAGGGACCATTGATGAAAGAAATAACTGTGATTTTTTATGTTTCTTACAAGTAATGTGAGGTTAAGGCTGCTGCGCTCTTTTAGCTTAACTTGTTTTTACTTTGTCAAATTTTAACAGTTCAATGTTATAGTACCAGACCAGCTCTGTTAATAGTAATCGGTATATCTTTAGTCTTTTTTTGTTATTAAAAAAAAAAGGAATAAATAAGTCATATAGAAAATCTCCGAGAAACTCCGTTTTTTTTTTCTTTTTATATGTTTACCCAAACATCAGAGCAGAAATTTCGCGCCAATTTTTATTTATTGGAGCTTCCTGCAATCTTCGAAAATGTACTCTGAATTCATTAAACACATGCTTGGGAGTTCTTATAACATCAAAATTATTTTAACGCTTGTTGGAATGTAATGATGATTCATACTCGAAATTACGAGTCGTTTAAAATAGCAAATGATTTTAAGTTTTTGCTTTGTGTTGTGTATTATTGTATTTAGATGCAATCATTAGATTAATGGTTAAAGTTTTGGACTCGTATATTAAAGCAATTTAAGTATTTAATTTTGTTTTGTTTGTTGTGTAAAACATATATACAACTTAACAATATGTTCTTTCAGGCAAACTCGCAAATGGTCGATTGACATCTTCACTGAAGAAAAACCAATATTTTGTTGTGATAAATCTACTGGCATTGAATTTGAAATGTTCGGATTATTTGACAATTTATGAGTGCAACCCTAGATTGCATTTTTAGTAAAGTGGGTGAAGTGAGTGCTTTATACAAAATAGGTTTTTTTTATTTATGATTTTTCCTATGGAGGAAGAAGAGCCCAGCAGTCAGTATCTACAAGTTTCCAATTTCCAATTGCCCCCTTTTTGGAAGAAAACGAAATCACATCATCTTCTAAAATATTCGATGAAAATTTTTTGTTTTTAATTCTTCAGGAAATACAGAAAAACACATAAGATGTTAACCGAGTCAGGCTTTCAAGTACATTGCGCCTGTAGCAGAAATTTGCTACAATATACAAATTTAAACTAATTGGAATGACTTTTTCAGTTTTGCTGTTATGCCTGATCTTTATTAAATACCAGTGAAATTTAAGTAATGCCTTAATCGGCTTGACTAGTGCCCACAAAGCTGAGGATATATGCTAATGGTTTTAGAAAAGAAACAGGCCGTCTCTCTGCTCAGTTAAGTTAGAAAAGCGCCGAATTTTGAGAATAACGCACAATCCGCGTGCGTAATATAAGTTGGATAAGCTGAAAGATACAAAGAATTGTTACAAATTACATATTAGCAAATGGTAATATTTTTGTCTACACTTTTCAAACTGTAATCTATGATAAAATCATCATAAAATTGAACAAAATCTGTCGGCTTTTTTTATATCATATTTAAGCCTTTCATTCCAGTAAGTGGAACGGAAATAGCATCAAATCCAATTTATAATTCCCTGCCCATATATATATATTTTTTTTACTACAATATATAGAAAGAAAGTGTTATCGGTGTAAATTACCTTAGTCTACGGACGACGCTGAGAGTTGTTTATTCCAATTTTATTCTTAATATTCAATGTTTTCTTTTATCTAAACATTCGTCTCTTACCTTTGGTAAACATCTGCTTAGAGGATTTTTTCAATTTTAATAGTCTCGTTCTTTACACATTTCTTAGTTTTTACGAAAAGCAACAAAAACTAAATGTCTAAACGCCTTATATACCCAAACAACCCTGATAAGTAAAGAATGGAGGGCAGCTATTATCGTGAAACAGCTGTGAGGGACAATGCTTAAGACAGTACACAGTTTTTTGCTCTCTCGGTCCTTTTCATTGTTTCCTGCTATTTGCTTCGACATTCCCGCTTTTTCGATCAACTAAAACAATCATAACTTTTTTATCCTTATTGCTTTCTTCTCTTTATGCAATGTTTCGAGTTTGGTTTAGTAACTCAAGCTACGAATTTCATTGCAAAGTATCAGTTTGACTTACTCCTCGTTAAGGAGAAGAACGTTTTTTTATAAATCAAATAACAATTTTGTGTGGCAATAAAAAGGAAGAAGGAAACAAAACAATTAAAAATAAAAACATAAAAGAACAAACATTACATAAATTATAAAAAAAAAATAAAGTGTGATAACTAACATAAAAGAACAAAGAAAATATTTTTTTAGAAAAGGAAGTAAAAGAAGTAAGAAAACTATTTATTATAAGATTAGCCTTTTGGATACACGCCGAATATAAATATATGATAATGCGAATATATATTTTTAAATTTCAGTCGGGTCATTGATCCACGACCAAGCATCATTTTTAATCTGGAATGTGTATTCACATGATCCATATAGTAATGATGGCATCAAAATTCATATTCCGTTCTGATAGAAGATGCAAGCCATTGAACAAAATATAATTTCTGGTTTCGGCTTTCCGATTGATTTATGAATATTTCTGAGAAGGGAGGATTGCGATGAAATTTCAGATTTAATTGTGAAATTCAACCGGTGATGCGATTTTTCAATTTCATCAATGAGATTTATTACATGCAAAATTCAGAGGACTTTTTGGAGATCAAGATACTCTCAAGAATATGTTTAGATACTAAAGCGGCCGTGGTGTATATATTTTTAAATGTAAAAAATAATAAGATTTTATATAAATTTTATTAAAGCATAGGGGAGTAATTTTCACAGAAAAGATACTTTCCACTTAAACTTTAGCTTGATTCCTTTTAAAAACTATGCTTATGCAAATCTTGAAAATAGCTCTTAAATAGCCCGTTTTACGCAACAGACTCATTTAATTTCATTATTTATTCGGAAATATTGCCGAAAATAAACGTTAGACCATCAATTTTAAATGCAAGAAATCGGTCAAGCCGGTAGCATGTTAAACCCAGTTATATTATATTGCTAATCAATAAAACACAACAAGCCACATGTAGTCGCGAAGCTCGTTACACTACTTCCACGTAATAGTTTCGCTTATTTATATTCTTATCCAGATGCATGTTAGTCTGCCTCACCATTCAAAGTAATTTTCTTTAAAATTTATTTTCCATGGACTGTCATTAATTTAGTGTGTTATTCAGGTGTGCGCCGATCCGTACCCAAAACTTCTTCGTTTTTAGTTGTAATTGAACCTTGAAAGAGATCCTTTTTTTCCTTCGTTGCATCAAAATGGAATTGCTTTTGACGAAATTGTAATTACAATTTTAAGCAAAGCAGAAATTCGCCCGTGCTCGTCCCCATATTCTAGCATAGCGAACGTTTCAGTTTAATAAAGGCTTCTGAACAAAAGTCGGAAAAATTAAATTCCTTTTAGAACAAGAAAATTATTCTAGGATGTGGGTTGTGCATCATCATCTGATCGCTTATTGAAAAGTAAGCTAAAGCGTTGTAAGATTGTATAAACTTTACGTTAAATTACTATTTTTCTACAAAGCAACCTCATTTTAAAGACCGAAAAGAAATCTCACCATTCGCACGGCGATCCTTCTCTAAGATTTTCAGAGACTTCGGTGCGAAAATTGCAATGAATAACTAATAGCTTTGATGATTTTCTTGTTGGAAATCTTGGATAATAGTCAGAATTGGAGAACACACATTGGTAACGCACACATTTAAAATAATTACTCTTTTAATGTGCAAACGGTTTAACTTAAAATTTAATCGCTTCCCGGAATGTTCGGTGGATAGGAGATTTCTATAAAGATTGTTTTTGTTTTCTCTTTTTTAATACTTTTTCTGATGGATTCGCAAACATTGTAAATCATTTGAATTTGTAATTGCTTAAGAAAGGTATTCTATTTGTCTTTACTATGAAAAGTTATTCATGTTTCGTTTTCATTTCTCCTTTCTATTGCAGTTCGGCAGCCGATAAACTTTGTTATCTAACTTGATCCTTTAACGTGTTACGTGTTGTAAAGGAAAATGTCTCAAGAAGCTGATATACCAACCTTTAAATGTGTTTTAGTTGGCGATGGTGGTACCGGTAAAACTACGTTTGTAAAACGCCACATGACGGGTGAATTTGAGAAAAAGTATGTGGCTACACTTGGGGTGGAAGTGCATCCGCTCATTTTTCATACTAATCGCGGAGCTATTCGCTTTAATGTTTGGGACACAGCTGGCCAGGAGAAGTTCGGCGGTTTACGTGATGGTTATTATATTCAGGGACAATGCGCCATCATTATGTTTGACGTAACCTCACGCGTAACATATAAGAATGTACCCAATTGGCATAGAGACTTGGTTCGCGTTTGCGAAAATATTCCAATAGTGTTGTGTGGCAACAAGGTGGACATAAAAGACCGCAAAGTTAAAGCTAAGAGTATTGTATTCCATAGAAAAAAGAATTTACAGGTGATTAGTATAAAAATGAAAAGCAAAGCGGAATAAATTTTCTTTATAACGTGTTTTTTTATGCACACTTACAGTACTATGACATCTCTGCTAAGTCGAATTACAATTTTGAGAAGCCCTTCCTATGGTTAGCGCGAAAATTGGTGGGTGATCCGAATTTGGAGTTTGTTGCTATGCCAGCGTTATTGCCGCCTGAAGTCAAAATGGACAAGGATTGGCAGTTGCAAATTGAAAGAGATTTGCAAGAGGCCCAGGAAACTGCCTTGCCCGACGATGATGAGGACTTGTAAACAAACCAATTTACCAATTATAATTACAATTTCTTTGTATATTATACTTAGAATTTGTATATTATATTAGAATTATCGAAAAATTATATACAAAGAAATAAGAAAAATGTGAGAAAAACCGAATTAAAAGTGAAAAATTTTAAATTTAAAAAACGATAAACTGAAATTTACTAACGACAGTTGACGAAAAACAACAAGATAAGGTCGAGATGAACGATCGTCGCGCTAAACATCGAAAAAAATGAATTCGAAAACGTAACGAGATTTATTAAATTTTCAAATAAGTTTTGCTGCTTCTTTTTTTTTAACTTGTCTAGATTCGTTAAGTTGCTATTATGACAAATATATTAAATACACAAAAGAAAAAAAACATTTGTTGAAAATCCTGAAGATTATTCGATTTCTAATCGATCGATTCCTTCTTGTTCCATTCCATTTTCATTCATTTTATCATATTTTCAAGGAAACTTTTTTTTGAACTTAAAGAAAGTTGCAACATACAGTAGAAGGACATGAGATTGAACTTTTCTTATACTGGTCATTTTATGAATTGGTTCGACTTCGGTCTGTCCGTGATGTGCCTCTATGTTCAACTTGTAGGCCGTAATAGTTGAGATATTTCGATCAAATTTGATAACGTTTTCCAATCCAAGCAGAAACGACGCTGAAAATGGTGCAGACCATATCCCATGTAAAGCTTTATTTTCGAAAACCATGATATGAAAAAATGTAAGGTAGGGTTGAGTATTTGGCGTAGTAATGGCGAACTTCGGCCAACTTTAGCGTTTTCATTTGTTTACGTTAAAAACATGTATATAGGATGCTAGAAACATTCGCCCGACAAACTTATGTATCAAATACAACGAAATAATAAACTGAGCCCAACATTTTGTTCAAAAGAGATTACTACGGACAGTTTTTGTTTGTTGTCGAAGAAGTAGTAACGCTGTTATTACAGCTTTTACCCCTTGTACTTTTATTCTCGTTGCTTGTATGGCCAAAGGTTCTGCGAATAGTTTCTTAACGTGACTTCATACTCCCTCAAAGGTTTGTAAAGCAGAAGCATATACAATTGTATTTTTAAGTGAATGTACGCTATGACTTTGTACGAAGAAAACCACCTAGTAGATATGTATGTAGCAAATATAATTTCTTCTCATCGTTTATTTCACATTGAAGAATTTTATATTCGCTAAATGCTTCAACAAATTTCAACGAAAATTTTCATATCCAGAAATATGAAGAAATTTGTTATGATTAAAAAAAATTGTTGTCGGGATAACTTATCTTTATTTCATTTAATTCTTATTTGTGTGTTTACTTATTTTTTTTGTTTACATGTACATATTTGACATATTTTATCCAATTTTCCATATAACACCTGAGTTATTCTGTATTCATATTATATTTTTATTATATACATATCTTAATAAAACTTGACGAATCTAGAGAGGAAAACTTGATAAAACCCGTAATCTCGAGCGTCGTATGAGAGCTTGGGGACAAATGGCACTACGTGAGTTTGTCTTTGAACGGTATACCCCAAATACCTAGCGACCTTTAGGGAAGCAATCAGCTCCTTCGAGATATAAGGGGCCTGTCTTGTTGAAATATTTTCCCTTGTCCGGCTTAGGCGTCTGTCACTACTACTCCTATTTATAAAGAAATGCCAGGTGCCAGATATTAACCCGCAATTTGCTGGCTACACCTTTCGCTCCTGCGGCTGATGATGCATTTGTTAAAACTTTGGGAGGGGACTGCGCTAAAAGGCGTTTCTGGGAATGAAATCTCTCGCTTGCATGTATTCCTCGGATGCTTTCCCGATTGAGCCTATGCAGAGCCGAACGGGCCAAGGATGCCAAAGGCTTTGCAAAAGCCTATAAAGCCGCCCTATTTTATAAGTGCTCGAGTAACAGTCGGCGGCATAGCAAGCCTGCTGAAGGTGGGACGAACCCTTAAGGAATGCCTAGGTCCTCGAGAGCAAATAAGCCCCGTGGAGCGCCTATGGGCAAGCCAACAAAAGTTAATTGTTTGTGCAGCACGCTGCAAGCCGCAGTAAACAGACGTGCTGGAAATTTAAAGAGCGCGCATCGAAAGCCTCCCTTGAGCACTCCCCGAAGAAACAATAACAAGCATTTTAGTTACATCCAGGTGAACTGCCATCACGATAAAGCTACTTCATCGGTTCCCAGCAGGAGATTTACAAACGAGGATCTGTACGTAACCTTCACCCAATAGCCTTGGATAATTGCGGGTACCATTCTAGGTAGGCTTAGGAAAAGTGGAAGGTTGGTTAATAAAGCCCAATATGAGCTGCCAAGGGTTGCCTTGCTTATCACCAACAGCATAACCCTCTTCCCACTTTCATACTTTATATCGGTGGACTTGGTGGTGGTTTTGGCTAATATGTCATTGCATGGCGGAAATATCCACAACCGAGGAGCAGCGTTGTCCAGTACTGCCAGCTCCAACGATAATTCAAGGGACGAGTACCTTCTAGAATAATTCCTAAAAAATAATATTGCCATTTTAAATAGAAGTAGAGAGCTTACTTTTAGAAATATTGTCAGAGAGGTAGTGCTAGATTTGACCCTAACTAATACCAACCTTGGTTGTCATATATCGGGGTGGTTCCTGTGCTGTTGTCGGACCATGAGCACGTATGTAAGCAATCATAGAGTTCCGTCAAATCTACAGAGGCAAAGAGAATATAAATTTGAAATTGCTCCGGTTTCTTATCGATGGAAATGCGATCAGGTCTTCGTAACTTTCTCATACTCTGGAAGAAACTGAACTTGAAGCGTAAGCGCTCATCCATGCAAAAAGCCCATCAAAAAAACTGTCTTTTAATGACAAAGTAATCCAAAATTATCGTGCCTTGGTTGATTTAGAGACTTCAAAATCTCAGATCCCAGGCTAGGAAATTCTTCAACAGGGACAAGAAATACGGTGATTGGGCTTTTTACGAAGAAGACCCCTCCAAATCTTCTTCCAAATTTTACGCGCGTTCAAAAAGCCCTCGCCAAAGACCACAGCAAAGAAGTATGCACTCCAAAGAAGTAAAATGGTGACTACATGGCTACTTCGGAAGAACCCGGTTGTCTCCTGCTGGAAACTTACTTCCCTTGTTGCTTATGAGCCCGGGACAGGCATCAGAGGAACTCAAAAAAAAATCAAATCGGCGTCTTCAACCCCGTGGCTGGAACAGGGTTAAAGTAGTCTTTATACCAAAAGCAGAGGGACAATATGAGCACCTGCCGAAATCATTCATACCCAAGAGCCTTAGTTTTGTATGGAGAAAATATTACAGAAGTTTATTACAGAAGTTTAATTCGAAGTAAGGCACTACATAAATATTACTTTTCCTATCAAAGTGGCAAATGCACTACGGCGTCAATTCATAGAGGGATCAATGGAGGCGAAATAAGTGGCTTTAGTTGACTCCATCGACATGCAGAACTTTTTAGAACACGTCATACAATGTTATTAAGAAAGCTATAGAGAATGATTACTAATTGAATAACCATCATGTTGAATTTAAGATGCATTACGACTAAGATATCAGGAATGTCATTGACTATTTAGGCCACCACTCACTAGGATGTACTCTTTCTTGAGCTCACTTGCAAAGATGGTGTAAAGCATTTAAGCGTCATATTTAACAAAATCCTAACTAGAAGTCCTCATATGAAACATATACTCGTTTGATATTTCGAAAAAAAGCTTATGCAATCTCTTCATGTGCATCAAAATGTTTAAAAAGACAATGCACGAGAGAGCTAATCTGCATTCATTTCAAAAATTTTCACATCAAAAACCGTCAACCACCGAAAAAGAAAAGATCGAAGATTCTATTGCTTATGCAAAGGCACGCACACTCCGACATAAGCATTTCTACAATAGCGCGAATGCACTCTCACATAGGTCTATTCAATACGTAGTACTCATATTTGGTGCAGTCATAACAATCTTAGCGAAGCTTTAGTGGGCATAGAATCCGCAAAATTAAAATATTTTATCGCTGGAACCAATGTCGAGTTTTCTGTTCTGAAAAGCCTATTGGATATCGAAAAAAGAACTGTCTAAAAAGACCGGGAGAAAACCTGCATGGAGCCTTACATGGAACAAATATTCTTAAACCATAAACAAATAACATTCGATGTATATAAGTGCTATTACTTGCTACTTACATGCTCGTCATCATTAAAGCAGGAGGGTATTATATAATAAGTCTCGTATGAGGATGCGAAAAGTATTTGTCCGGACAGGAAGCACTCTTGCCACTTAAGATTAAGGTTGTTGAATATTGGTGTGGAGTTAATTATACATTTTTCCTTTTGTTTTAGTACGTTAATGGTCGGATAATCCATGGCTTCAAAATGTTGCGGTCTGTCAAATTTTTGTTTGTAACTTGGTCGCAGGAAAATCAAAATAATGTCCGTTAACATAAAAGATTGTCACGAAAATCGTCAAATCAATGAAAACAATAGATAAACAAGAAAGTTCTTGAAAAAACGAATGTCGTACGAATAAATCGGAAAATTAAAACAAGTTAAAAGTTTATATGAAATAAAAAAAGGCTTTAACATTGCTCCTCTTTCGAATACTGTAATGGAATGTTAGCCCTGTTCTAGTTTCAATTTGGGCCGTACATATAATATCGTTAACAGCATTACGCAAAAACATATAAGGTCAAACGAAGATTTTTCTCATAGGCGTTATTATTTTTTTCCTTTTAGAATGTACTGAATATGAAAAATTTGGAAATGAAGTTAAGAAAATGCGCTTAATCGCATAATTGAAAAGAGATTATATCATACCGAAATTCAAAGGTAATCTGAAGATACTGTATTTTTATTGAGCCTAACAAATAAAACATAATATATAGTTGATAGAGGCACCATATCGCAATATGTTTTTGGAGTATATATGGAACATGACAAGCAAAATTTTCTAAGTGAACAAAACCGGAATTAGACTTTCCGAAGATAAAGTATGCGTAATGTCGGTTCCAACCACGCGGCCGGTGGCAAATATTCCAATATTGCCTTCAATTTTCTCAAAAATGTTCAGTTTGATATCGGAGATCAGCCAATAAAGCTATACAATGTAAATTAAAAACACTTGTGCCTTACTACTTATAACTACATATGTCACTTATAGACGTGAAAATTTCTGCGTGTATTCTATGGATGATCTTATAATATATGTATAAAAATGCAAAAAGCAGCCATCCCTACCTAATATTATAGAGTATTGAAATTTTTTTGCCTATTTGATGGTAACAAGAGATAAAAGATTCGTCCACAACAGAATTCAATTTTATTACTTGTTCTTTTTTGTTAATGTTACTTGTGAATGTATGTGCATGTGTTTTTAAACGTGGGCGCACCTACGGTTAAGGCATTTAAGCTCCTTCCACATAAAAGCTTTGCGGCAACATAAATAATCTCTTTCATCTGACATACCACGTGCTTTAAGAAATAAAAATAAAGAAGCCAACATAAATATAAGAAAACAACTTAGGCTTTAAAAAATTAACACAAAACAAATAAAGTAATATACTGTGTGAAAGCAAATTTCAAATTTTATAATGATAATGTTTTTGTCGCACTGAATTCGCAGTACGAACAGTTATAAACAGTTGTATAAATAATCATAAATATAAAAGAGCCAAGGAAAAAAAAAATTTTATTAAAAATGCAAACAAAAAACTTATGAGAAGAAAGCTAGAAACAAAGCACAAAAAACTATTCACTCCAAACGAATACTTAGATGAAAAAAAAACGTCAAACATTTATATTAGAAATTTATTTATTGCTTTAGAATGTTTATTACTAAGAAAATCGGTTTTTTTTCAATCTGATTAGTAAAAGTAAGCCAAATTAGAAATGTTAATTCCACATCGTTTTTGACAAATTCTTGGTCCGTATTCTGTGTAGAGTGTGAAGAAAACACGCCTAACATTTAACAAAATTAAAAGTATACCATGTAAATGGAGCATTTGCGAATTTGCAATCAAAATAAAATTTGCTTGCAAAAATAAAATTTAAAAAAATTATATTTAAAAAAATAAAATTTAAAAAAATTATATTTAAAAAAATTATATTTTTAAATTAAAATATATTGCGTTTATTTCTTTTTTCCTCCTTTATTTGTTTACATAATTTTTGATATGAATACTTTTATTTGCATTTTTCCATAAAAAGTTATTTAAGGTATCTATCTTGGCGAAAGCTAATAGAAATTGAACAACTTTTCATGCGTGATATTGAGAGCTTTCAATGTGATCAACTTAAATTTCAAAGCTTGATAAGGACAAGCTTCTTATTTTTCATATTAAACATTAAAAGTCTGAGTTACTACTATTTTTATTATTTTTGATCATAATTATACACGCGAAATTTTTTAATATACATAAATTTCTATTGTGTCAGATAATGTTAATCAATTGCAGACGTATCGTTACGTATCGTTTAAATATTGATATCTGACACTTAAATAACCAATATGTATATGCTGGTATATAAACTCATACAGGCGTTTTTATTCTTCAACTTCCTAATTATATTGTTCGGGATTTATGTGAAATGAATATATATAAATATAAGACGTCTAAAACTTAAACATTAAATTTAGTTTTTCATCCTTCTAAAAGTGCAGCCTACAAACTTACACTACGTAGTAGGAAACATCATATAACAAACACAGACACAGAGTAGTTTGATTAAATGTACATCGCGTTGCCAACTTGATTCGTTAATTAAATACAATTCTGTATGTATAGATTATAATATTTCGTACAAGAAGACTCATTTACTTTCCGGTCGTCAACGAGGTGAGTCGTGTCTTAATATTGATAGAGAAGGAGATCTGACTAAAGAAAAAGATCTTTTGTGAACTTGTGAGTGTGACAAAATAAAGAAATTCTTAGACGAAACATGGAAGGTGGTGCTAAGAATGATGTTAATGGCGGTGCACCTTTGCCTCAAAGGCCACCTAAAAATGTTCAAGGAAATAAAAATTTCAACAAAAATCCATCACAGTCTACTGACTCCCCTATGGAGAAAAAGCCACGTTTCATGCCAGGTGTTGGTCCCAACAATCAAAGCGGAGGTGGTAACCAGAATAAAGGATTTGGTGGTAATAAAGGCTTTGGTAATCGCAATCGTAATCGCGGTAGCGGTGGTAATAACCAGAATAGAGGAGGAAATTTTCAAAATCAAGTAAGCCTTGAATTGAATAATTTAAATTATTGTAGCAGCAAGATTTTGTTTTGAGTAGTTTCAAAAAACGTGAGAAAAATTTTTTTTATGTATACTACAAAATGGCCGTCATCTATAAATTGTGTCGGCCATATTGATTGAGAGTTGCCATTCTCCATCTTCTGGCAATTTACCACTTCGCAGAGTTGCGTTTTAAACACATAAAGCTTCTTTCCCGCTATTTCTGCCTTAAATGAGTGCTTTTGTATGTATGCGTTAATGAAGACTTAGCAATTTCCTTGTAAATGTTGCAAAGAATAAAAGTATAAATTAGATTGACATATATTGATATCTATTAATTGATATGTAGGTGTGTGCGTTTAGATTTTCTAGAGAAGTATATATAACGATTTCCGCATGTTGCCTATCAGCAAATATAATTAGTTTTTCTTCTCATTGGCAGCAAGAGCAAGATGACTCTATGCAAGACCAATCGCATCAGCCTCCGTCGAATGCAGATTGCGGCAATGACGATGTTGTTATGATGCCACCGCCGCAAATGCAAAATTTAAATCAGAGCAGACAAAATCAAGGTGGGGGTGGCGGTGGTGGTAACCGTGGTCCCGGCGGTGGTAATCAAAGACGCGATCGCAGTCGTAGTAGCGGCGGGGGCAATCGTGCTAGCATGGGAGGACCAGGTGGTCCTGGCGGCCCTGGACGTAATGACGACTTTTTTATTGGTCAACGTTTGAGGGCTATCAGCGGTCCGACACACGAATTGCCAGCCATTGAGAATACAGAGGAAACGAAATTTTCGGGACGTAACCGCCTTTATGTAGGCAATCTTACAAATGATGTAACGGAAGAAGAGTTACGTGAGATTTTCAAGCCATTTGGTGAAATTGGTGAAGTTTTTAGTAATCCAGATAAGAACTTCGCTTTTCTTAAATTGGATTACCATGCAAATGCTGAGCGAGCTAAGCGTGAACTGGATGGTACTATGCGCAAAGGTCGCATGTTACGTGTGCGCTACGCTCCCAATGCAACCATAGTTCGAGTTTCAAATCTTACGCCTTTCGTATCTAATGAACTACTTTATAAGTCGTTTGAAGTGTTTGGTCCAGTAGAAAAGGCAAATGTTAATGTTGATGATCGCGGAAAAACCACTGGTGAAGGTATAGTTGAGTTTGCAAAGAAATCTTCAGCTAACATGTGCTTGCGTTTTTGCAACGAGAAATGCTACTTCTTAACGGCATCTTTACGGCCATGTGTTGTGGAGCCGTTCGAGGCGAATGATGATACAGATGGCCTGCCTGAAAAATCGTTAAATAAAAAAGCACCAGAATTCAATCAAGAACGCAGTGTTGGACCACGTTTCGCCGATTTGGGTAGTTTTGAGCATGAATATGGCACGCGATGGAAACAGCTGCATGAGTTGTTTAAATCAAAACAAGAGGCATTGAAACGTGAACTTAAGATGGAAGAAGAAAAACTTGAGGCACAAATGGAGTATGCACGTTATGAACATGAAACAGAGTTGTTGAGACAAGGTAAATAAGTAAATCTCTTTTCTTAGAAACTATATCACACTTATGAATTAATATATTATAGAATTGCGTAAACGAGAATCAGATAATGAGCGCAAGAAAATGGAATGGGAAATGCGTGAAAAACAAGCTGAGGAAATGCGTAAGCGAGAGGAAGAACAAATGCGTCGTACCCAAAATGAAATGCAATCGCGTATGATGCGACAAGAGGAGGAAATGCGACGACGTCAGCAGGAAAACACGCTGTTTATGCAAGCCCAACAACTGAATTCTATATTAGATCAGCAGGAAGGTGGTTTCAGTGGCAATTGTAGTAACTTCGACAATTTCGGTGGAGCTGGGGCAGGTGGTAACAATAATTCATCGCCCTTCGATTTCAGAGGTATTTATCACGTTAATATATGTAATTTTGATTCTGCATTTTCACATAAAATTGAAAATTAGCCCAAAATAATTTTGTCACATGCGCAAATGGCAGCCAAATGCTAAAATTAGTAAGCTTGTTGTGTACTGTATCATTACCCGAAACATTTAAATACTAATTCGTTGTGCAAAAGCCATAATTGATTTTGCGGTATCGGTTCGTTTGTTTAATATTGAAAACGAATATTAATTAGTTTAGTGCATGAATATAAAAAGAAACATTTTGTGCAGTATTTGAGACTTCGTTGTGCTTCAAAAAAGGAGTTAGTCTTAAAGAAAATATCACACTTTATTAAGCACCTGCACTTAGTGGCTCATAACAATCGTTAAAGTTGTAAATCGAATGTATATTTCCATACATATATGGTATGGATAAATGTTCTTTTAGGTAATTTTTACTATATTGCAGGACTATCACATCGATTATGTATATTTTTTAGAAAAATATCTAATACAAAGGTTATGGAAATGATGATCGAACGAAAGCCTCCTATAAAAAATCTCTTGTGCATGCACATTCTGATCGCATAAATAAAATATGATATGTGTTACACTCGTTCGTTACTCTGCGTTTGGTGTACAAAATTGATATTATGCGGGCAGTAACAACTAATATAACGATATGCGAACATGTTGGTTCACTTTCTTACTTAATATCTCTATAATAGTGACTGCATAAGATTTTGTTGTAGATCTGTATTATAAAGGAAAATGAAAAATCGCACGCTATGTACATGCATTCACAAACATAATTGCATCGTCTCAGGCATGTAGAAGTTTCAGTTGAAAGTTGGAAACTAGTTTCTTCGATGAAAACAAATTTGATTAAAAATCTGTTCAATCCGACTCAATGAGTTGGTTCTGCGCAGAATTCAGAAAACGGAAAAACTCGTCATATTTTAATTACTTTTACACTCGTTCTTTCAATTTCTCCCTTTTAAAATTCCTTTAGACTAAAGGATAATTTTTGATAATTACAATCTATAGAGAACGTTTAAAGTAAGGAGAACTTTCTTCGTAAAGTGATGAAGTTCTATTATTTATGAAATTTTGCCAGGATTTCGTATCGTTTTATTCGAATATGGCGATGAGCGACGTATTTCATAATTATATATCGAACATAATATCTTATAGATAATGAAAACTGTTAATCTCAGGTTTCTACAATAATGCCGTTGAATGGTTTTGTCATTACTTCTTATCACGCAGACGTTATTAACATAACTTGTGTTGCCTTCATCCCACCTATAAATAAAATTGACTGTGTTCGCCGTTTAGTTATAGATTAAAATGTGGTTTTTTAATTGAATATTAGTTACGGTTAGCGATTAATATTAACAGCTTCACCTGACTGCGTTTTTATAATAAATTTTGCTTTCTTCGCTTGTTTTACCAAACGTCATCCCTTATCTCTTTTATCTTGCGATTTCGATATTTTTGCTTCTACCATAGTCAAACTTGGCAGTAAAACTGCACTATTAGATTCACTGTTTTCATGCAGTGTACACTATGTTGTACACTTATATTTGACGAACTTGACGATCATAAAATTTTTTCAAAACCTTTCCATTTGTTCCGAAAAGTAATTCTTTGTGGATTAAATAAGAAAAATTAACACGTAATTAATTGAAACTTGATATCGATACAAACGTTTCGAAAAATTACCAAACGTGATGCAGTAACCAAGATTTGATTTGAACTGGTAAACCCTATCTTCGAGACTTCGGCTACTGAACATATTACTTGAATTTGCGCTCATTGCGATTGTGTGTTTTCGAGGATATACTCAGATATTTTGACAGGTCGCTTACCGGTCAATGGCCAATAATATCTCAGTGTCGGAAGAGTTCTAATGACATCTAACGCCCGCAAACCATATTAAACCATTTCTTTTTTCTAAATGTTATTTATAGACGACTGGAAAATTTTTCGATCTATAATTATTAATATTGAGAAATAACTTGATAAAAGACAAAAAACACACCTTTCTTAAACATAATTGTCGGCGATATATGTCAGAATTTTTGTGCATTCTATAGAGGAGTTTATAGCCGGTCTGTGGCATTTAATTGTTCGATTATTTGAATTTTGCACCTATGAACATAACCATCTCAATTTGCGTTGTATTTTTCTTGTTTTTAAACAATGTCTTGTAGGTATGGGATTGATTCTTGACAGATCTTTTTGTCTCTCCTCTTCTATTGTGTAACGAGCTGACGAATGATGTTAAAAGATTCTGCAGCTTACCACCGAATAACATTTCTAATTACAGACTAAACAAGTCGATCATATTGGTTAATAAAATAAGAGCGAATAAATTTTCCCCGTTTTTCTTGCCCGAAACTATCGTATTTCTATATAAATATATATATATATATATACATATACACCACCTCTGAATTATTGTCTGTAAGTGAGCGTATATAATTCGTTTTTCTAGCCGCTTCCCCCCAAAGAGACGAGACATGGATCTACCTTATTTTTACATAGATGTTTCGATTTTTTTAATAAGAAGTCAGGCCCTAACTAGAAGTCTTATAACAAGCTGCTAATATTGTTACTATGGCTAACACTGTTGTTATCACAACCGATTATTGCTACTATGATTAATTACGACTGTCCATGTTGGTATTAGCACCATTGTCAATGCCTTCTGTTAGTATTACTATCGTTAACGTTATCGTTACTCCGATTGCTTCTGCCGTTGGAAATAAAGCTTTATATGTGTATATATTTAGAGATTTTATAAACTATCATACTTATGCTTTCAGAGTATGTTACATTTACTACACCAAGAACATTCAGTGGCGATTTTTTTTCTTCATTGGTGTTCAAGAACAAAAACTTTTCTTAAATATGTAAACATGTTTTGTACAAAAATTAAGCAAAATTTTATATTTGTTTCTTTTCGGTTTTATAGGTATTAATTAATTTTTATTTATTTATTTTTTTCTTTCATTGTTTTCCACAGGCAATAATAATAGCGGTGGTGGTGGCAATGGCCCAAATGGCCCGAATGGCCCTAGTAATCAGCAGGTACGTTCATTTTTCAATATGTTTAAAGGACGTAGAAATTAGTTGATTTTATTTATTATTCTATACAACAAAAAAGAAAAAGAAAAAAAAAAAAGGAAGGAAAATCTGTAAAAAATTAAAAAAGAACAGTTTCACTTTCTTAAAAAACTATTTAATAGCACTGACAAGCATTGTTCTTTTACTAAGTTTAGTAATCGTTAATTTAGTTCTAATCTTTTTAGCAATTTATCATTCAAAAAAAAAAAAAGAAAAAAAGAAAAAAAAAAAAACAGTTTATTTAATTTACGACAGAATTATAGCAGCAAATTATCGGTATATGTCAGGGTGTAGATGATGTTTCTCTTTTTTTCATTTATAAAAAATTACGCAAATCAACGGAAAAATAAGTTTAATTTCTACGTAGATTATGTTGTTTGATTTAATTATTTTTTATTTCATTATACTATTTTACATTTATTTTCATTACCTTTCGAGATATATAAAATTTTTTATTTTTTGCATTATTTGTGTTATATATTCAATTAATTTTGATTATTATTATTGTTGTGAACAAAAGGCATAAATAATTCCGTTTTCTATATAATTATTATTATTGCTCTAAATCTGTCTCTGTATATAATAAACATTTGTTTAATTTGTATAAAGACTAAAACCAAATTAATTCTTAAACTCTTTAAATATGAATCGAAATAAGGTTAAAAATAATAAGAAAATATGAGGAAAATTCTCGAAATTGAAAGCAATTGCGATATATAAATATTAAACGTTTTCCCTAGGGACGTACAGCAACTTGCTCTCTTTATTCCTTTCTCAATTAACATTCTGACCGAATGTTAATCAGATAAACTGATTAAACGATAAAAAATATTGATTAAAATTTAATGATATATTTTTATCATACCATGATGCTTGCTTGCTTTACCTACCTTACTATCCAAAGATTTTTATCTAGAAATTTATTCCAATATGCTCGTTTATTGTACGACATCGTTTAGGGAGAAGAGAGTTTCTCTATATATCTTAAGTTAAGACTGAAGTGTTTCCTTTATGGAAATGTATTATACTTGCAATGTAATGCTCATTGTGATTGTCGATGAGCGTATCTTGAAAAACATTTGACTCATCAAAATGTTAAATTTTCTCCTCTCGGATTTTAACTAAAGATAATAAAAATATGCAAATGTTGCATTTGCTTTTTTTTTCATTCTTTTATTTATTTTTTATTCCCGATTACATTGAAATAATAATGTATTCTACGAAGTTTTTATGTGACTTTTTTTTTTTTTTTTTTGGTGGGTGGCAAAATAATTTTTTCAATTACGCTGAAATATTCGTTTAAAACCTTAATATTTTGTTCTGTTTATTAAGCGATATGTAAGCAATTTTTAATAATATATGTATATATATATATATATACATGTAATAAGATTTGCCGATTACTAATTACTATTTATCTATGTGAATAAACGAAGTCATGCAGCTATCTATAGAGTAATATCTAAAGTATTAAAATTTTTTTTTTCTAACATATTATGTAATGAAAGTGAACCGTGAAGGGAGTTAATACTCTTTTGTCTTTGCAATTGAATTCGTGAAAATAGTATATAGCTCTTATATAAGCATTATATGAAAAAAATGCCACATTTTATATAAAAATTCTGTGATTTAATTTTTGTTAATTTAAGCTAAGATAATTACACTATGCTTCGTAAAGCCTAAAGTTTCCATTTGTAATACTCTTTTTCGATTTTTTAAAAATGTAGAATTTTATTTACACGTACCGTACCCATCGAACACGTTGGGGGGAATTATTTTACACAGTATCTATGGATTCTCTCGTGCACAGAAATACATATTAGAGAGCAGCGATTCGTCTTAAAATCGCGTTTTAATCATATCGATCAAAGCTTAGATTTCATACAATCCAATTCTCTGATGCGATTACTTAAAATTTCCCTCTGTATAATTTTTACATGTTTTACATATATATCATCATTCAACATAGGGCGATTTGGGCGTTTTTGATTTGATAAACTATTGCTGCCCTTTCCCTGCCAAAGTGCTTTTGGAATGGGCTTTTTGAGTACTTGTATGCTTTTAAGCGGCGTTTATGTTATAAATAATAATTCGTCGTTATAAAGATTGTTTATTCGCAATTCGATAATCTAATCGGTTTTTACGTGCTGTCTAATTCTAATTCTTAAATGTACAGATTTTTGAAATCAAAAGCAAGTAAGAATACTATGGTCGGGCAATGCCGACTTCTTTATACACCCTATATCGATTCGTATAATTCTTCATTTGTTTTCGCGTTAAAACGTCAGAAATTATATGTCGTCGATACTTTCTCTCGACACCTACTGTTTACAGTAACCTTTACATAAACAGACCGAGTCCGAAGCGTAAGCTGATGTGGTGGTCTAAATTTAGCAAAATTACTCTTTTTTTTTTTTTTACCAAATATCTCCATTATTATTTTTGGAAATATGTTGCCATACAAAAAACAAAGATTTACTTGTGATAAGCTCCGAAAAATGACATATGTTCTTTAAATATGGTACGATTGATTTTTATATCGGACTGCAGGACGGACGTACCTTTTTACATGGAAATATGGGCTCAAATTTTGGGTTGGGTTGGGTCTGGTCTGTCTTATGGTTCGAAGGTGACATTAAAATATTTTTTCCATAAAACGTCTCTAAATTTCAAGTACATCACGTTACGATAACAGTAATTCAGATGAAAATATTGCGAACGGGGTGACTACGAGATGAGTGATTGTACCGAGAGTGAAGACGAACTGAATATTGCTTGTTTGATCCGATCCGTAGTAAATTTGAAATGTGTTTTATACGTTCTTATGGAGTAATTCTCTTACTGTATAGCATTAAAAATTAAATTGTAATATAAATTGGATTGTGTTGCCGAAAGGGCTTATCTTGTGTGGAAAGGCTCATCTTCTGTAGGAACAATTACATATGTTAAATGTTGTATAGATGTTTGCGTGAAAATTTTCAAAAATTTTTCCATGTCAAGATGATGATGATGGGAAGAGAAATGGTCCGATTCAATCTATTTTCAATGGGATTTAATTTTCGTCGAAAGTATCGCGAGATACTTTTAAGTCGATTCGGAAAATGATTCCGAATCGATGCGTCCTTCTTAATAATTACTTGTGGATTTTAAATATCCTCTGTACTCTGCAATTGGTGTACGAAACAACAATGCGATGAAATTTAATGTGAAATAAAAAGAATATGAGTCAGATAGATAGATAGATAGATAGATAGATATTTGTTTTAAAGATTTCATAAAATGTTCCACTTATGCTCTGTGTCTTCGTTTCAGATTCAAATCTTCCCACTCTCATGTCGCATTTCTTATATCAACTCCTCCTCCTCTCTTATAATATTTTGATGTACTAACTATGAAGAGTACTCTTTATCTCTCATTTCACATATTCGAACACGCGTCTCTTTACTTTTGGTCTGTTTTGTCATTCACACCATAATGTACTTTAATTAAATAAATGCGGAATTCTTTTCTTTTCTTACTTATATCATCCATCGTGCGTCCTTTAGGTTTCTTCTACAAAATAAAGAAAAAGAAATTTACATATCTCGTATGTTCGACTAACTGCATTTGAGAATATCCAGCTAACTTCTCAATACTTTTTTTTTTTTTTTTGTTTCTAACTAATTTAGGCAACGTTTTTGAATGAAATTTTCTTATACTCTTGGGTCTCTCCTTGAGATATAAGAGAGAAATTTCAAGTTTTTTAATCTTTACTGTTGAAGTAAGAGATGTTTGACCGATAATTCTTATTATATGATAAGAGTTCTCTTTAAAAAGAAATTTTGAATAACAGTAACCATTATTTTAATTAGGAATTTTTTTGAGTAAAAATTGTAAAAATTTTAATATTTTATCAAACATGGTTTTCACTTCAATTAAAAAAGTGATCATAGAAAATCTACGCTTTTAAAGAATTGGTGGGTTCGCTTTATAATTCAACAATTAATGGGGGCATGGTTTCATCTGAGACATAAAACAACATAATCGTTACGGGAAACATTAAAATCGAATAAAATTGTAGCCGATATTAGGATATTTTAATGTTTACAAATTTATCTTATTTACAAAAATAATATACATTATTGAGATAACAAAAAATATAGGAAATTTATTGTTTGCATTTTTTCGCAAACACAACAATAAAGATGAAGAGCAATTGATCGATTTATATTTTTAACGATATAAATTTAGAACTTTCAAGTATGTGTTTTTTGTCATTATTCGGGCGTTTAGGTTTTATAAAGGATCTAACAATTTAAGGGTTGCCCAAAGGTCTACTTTCGATTCGAAATATATATATATAGTATAGTGTATACTATATATATATATATAGTATAGTGTATGTATATATATATATATAGTATAGTGTATGTATAGGTATAGAATTCTATTCTTCTTACCAAAGGGCGGTGCTCAATAACTACACGCACCTCTTGTTTTCTTATCGAACACACAATCCACACTTCTAAGTGCGCTTGGACTACAGAAACGAGGCTAGCGCTCTCATGACTACTTATTACTTGTCTTATTGGTATATAAATTGATAGACATATATATATATATATATATTATGTATATTATATTATGTATATTATATTATGTATATTATGTATATTATATTATATTATGTATATACATATATTATATTATGTATATACATATATTATGTATATACATATATATATATATATATATTTAAAGAGGTGCAAATCTTTTGTGAGAATACGCTATACAGACGTCGAAATGTCCAATAGTGTACGATTCGTGAACTCTCAGCATCATTCACGTTTGCCTAGACGGACGTCTGGACGACGGACTGTAGAAGATTATTAATTGATTCAGGTTTACTGCAGTTTCTTAAGTAATCTCCTCACACTTAATGAGGTTAAGTCACTATTCCCATTCCGCTAATTGTATATAATAATAACTACTTCTACTATGAAAAACTATGAAAACGTTTGAATCGTACTTTTAATTGCCTAATTAATCCATTAGGTTGATCCGTTGTGTTATCATTCGGATTTTTAAATTGGATTAGAATGAATTTTAAAATGGTTTTAAGAAAAAGTTCTCAGCGCTTTTAATACCACGACAAGTATATAGTAAAGGAAGTGTGAAACAATTAGTTCAGCGGTCATTATTTCTAAGAACATTGTGTTTTGTTGTATTCTCGTTCACACCATTTCTTTGTAATTTCCTATCGTTCGCAAAACAAACGAATCCTTTAAATATGAAATGACAACGATTTTCATCGCATACACGATTCCTTTACTTTCATATATTCATTGCCGGTGAATGTCAATGGATATATTTTTGTCTAGTTGGAATACCGAGAAAAGCATATCAATGACACGGGATAGGATAGGAGAAGGAGGGGGTATAAATGCCGTCTGTGTGTGTAGTGCAAGGACTAAACGATTCCAAACATTTTTCACATTGTGACAAAAATTTAAAGCAAACAAACAACAATCTCTGTAGTTACTAGCTATAGAGCGCGCTACCCTTGCTTAAAAATTACTTTCGTGATTAGTTGCGTATCGAAGCGAATATGTTTCAACATTTTCTGCATTCCGATTAGGAAGTCGTCGCCATTTGACAATGAATTTTGGGTGGTTAGTAGTCTCGTCGATCCAAGTTAACAGATTGTTCAATAATTTTCATTCGGCATTAGCCGGATATTAACACGAATTCTTTCATAAATTTATCAGTTGAATGAAACGTTTACTTTTATTGCTGCAAGCTCCTGCACAAAAGTGCAAATGCGGTAAGGCACAGCATAGCATAGCATAGCATAGCACAGCACAGCTCAGCTCAGCTTAACTGTTCTGTTTTTAAATGTTGCGTAATTTAGGTTTTTCCCGCTGCACGTGCCGCATACGCGCGCTTGTTTTTATTATTCACTCTATATTTGTTGCGATAATGAACTGAAAATAGTGTGGAAAAGTTATTTAATTATCATTATTGCATCATCTTTAATATGCACGCAGAAGCACAACATAACTAAATATTGTAATTTTTAATGTAATTACGTAAAATAACATACATAAAGAGTTGCGCTTACTAACAGAGTCGCGCATTTGGGATAATAAATTCAAGTATTTCGCTTCTATTCAATAATCGAGTATTTCAAAGTTTTGAATATAAATATATATATATATGTATAAGTAAAATTTTTTTTTTTTTTTTTAATAAAAGTCGGTGGTTCTAAAAGGGTTCCTCTCAAGAATATTGCTTACAGTTTTGGCGACATAATTGTTACGTGCATAAAATCGAAATTTTTAAAGCGCTTTTTTTTATATATATAACTATGGATATTTGACATTCATCCATTTGTTGTAAGACCAACCGTAGATTGTTCTCAGTCTTCATTTGCGTCTCTTAAGTGAGAATTTACATTTGCGCGCTGGTGTTTTAAGAAAATTGCAATATTTGTAAAGTTCGATTATATAATATTTTAATAGGAAAAAAAGCAAAAATAATTTGCAAAGGAACGCATGCTGCTCCGTAAACAGGTTGAGTGTCATAATCGTAAAGAAGATGTTTGAGAAGTGATTTATGGAAGGTCCTATTCCTATCAACCTTCTCATCCTTCTCATTCCATTGCGGTCAGCCATTACAAGGCGCACCAATATTTGATAACTGCAGAGATCGAAGATAACGCCAACATTAACTAATTAACTCGTATGGAACGTTTGCGGAAATATGTTGCCTACTGCTTACTGCAAATACATGCCATTTTTCAATGGCCACGTGTGCTGTTTTCGGTACACTTTTTTTTGCGTTTAAGAGAGAATTAATTATAAATATTCAAGCAAGAATTTTAATAATTTGCGTAATTAATTTGAAGAAACTAAATGTTATAATTTAATTATACTTTCATGTAAAGACGAAAATTTTATTAAAACAAAAAATACGATTCATAGGTCTCCCTTCCTCGCACGATTTAACTTTCCCAATTTTTCGCATTAATAATTCAAATATATATTAGCGGTTGGAATGGGGTGTTGCGTGCCATAAGTAATCAATTATTTTGAAATGTGAAATAAACTTTTATTCCATAAATTGTCATCTTTCCCGGAAATATTCAAGCCTTGTGTCTTGAAATACGACACAAGGTTTATCGTCTTCTCACATCTTCTACGAAAATTAATGCTTTAGTTCTGAGAATAGTGCTTTTAGCGATTTGGAAAAATCATGTCAGAGGAAGTGATATCCGATATGTGTGGGCCATGCGGCAAAACTTCGCAATGCAATTCTTTGATTATTACATGAGTGAGCTTCGCTGTATGGCACGAAGTATGTACTACAAAAATTTGCAGTATTAAACCTTTTCAGTGAACTTCCTCCGATAGCTGTTATTGTAATCGTTGTGGTCGTTGACAATGCAACTTAGGAATAAAAATGTTCCTCTAAAAGTGAATTATCCCATTAAAATGCACAATAACACGCTTTTCAAGTGATAAGCTAGGGCTGGGCCATTTTTCGCCTCCGATAATGATGATGGATTTCTACGAAGTCTGGATATCAAAGATCTCAATAAAATGGATTCACTAATCTCCTAATGGTTGCAGTAAACATATTTATTGCCCAATTTGCTTTCCTAATTTCGTGTAGGTGTCGTTATAGCATAGTTGACCATCTGGATGCAAGGTTTCTCGATAATTCTTGTCAATTATCAAATTCAATGGGTCGTCCACTTCATGATCTATCAAAGAGGTTATAATCGCCAAAAACAGCAGCAGCAAAGCTTTCTGAACCAACGTTGTGGACACTTGTTGTTGACATTTCTTATAAATCTCGCAAATTTTCGTTCTTCTCACAGTTGCATTAAATCTCGCATCGAAATGCAAAAGTATGCAACGATGAATATCATGCTCCGAAGGTACGGACGCCGCCATTTTATTATACAATTGTAAAAGAAAGTTTGTGATTTTTGAAATATTTTGAACACAGGCTGCTTTTACGAAAAGTATGGAAGAAGGTGGTGTGTATGATCGGTGCACAACTAAGTACAAAACTAATTTTTTACAAATAATTGATTATTTATGGTTATGATTAATGTAAAGAACAACTAGAACTTATTAAATTAGAACTACGAATGAAAGAACTGCTAATCGACTGAAAAATGCACTGAGAGTTAATTGCCAAGACGCGTCTTGAACAGTGCTCTCATATATTATATATCATTACAATTATAAATATATAGTTTAAAATAACGATACTGACAACATGAGCGTGTACTGAAAAGGGTGCACGCATCGTTTTTCTTAGCAGACCAACGCGAGCGTGTAATGAAAAGCGTACACGCCTTATTTTTCATAATAGACTAATGCGAATGTGTACTTAAATGGGTACACGTGTTATTTTTCTTAACGGACCAATACATAGGGCTGGTAAATAGATTTTATCTTCACTTATCTTCATACTTCCATTCTTGGGTACCGCTATTGCTTACATTTTAAAAATTGGTAAATTAATCTGTTGCCAAGTCAATTAATTCTCTCATTATACGTATGTATGGAATTAAGTGCTACTCTTGATAAAAACAACATTGCTATTTCGATATCTATTTTTCGAAACATTTTTTTCGTAATGGTTTCTCGCGACTTGTTTTTTGCTATTCATTGTTATTGCTTTGTATGGTAAAAATTGGATTAACCCTAAAGTAACATAATATAAATAAAACTCTAGTTAGTTGTTTACGTTAATTGATTTATTTTAAATGAACAGAACATAAATATTTGGTTTTAAACGAAAATCCATCATTTCTGGTTGAACAATAATTACTATGCATGTATGCAATAAATACATGATACAATAGTAGTAAAAAGAAGAGATAATATTATATTAAGATGCAATCGAAATATATGTAGGTGTTAACGAGAATATACTTTTTGTCGAATTATGGGAAAAATTTTCTTGAATTATTATACGGGGAAACGAGGAAATATTAAGGCTAAAAATACAAACAAACAATACTCTATTGTTTGTGCTAATTGTTCTTGTTAGTTTTTTCATCATGATGAATTTTACCTGAATATTTATTATTTGACGAAAATTTCGAAAAAAAAGCATATGTTGTGTGTGTGTATTGTTGTTATTGAAATTTACATTTTGAAATTGGGTTAAATTTCTTCAAGAATTTGTATAGTATTAATGCATTTCCTTGCAATTTATCATATTGCACAAGTGTTTTGTTATTAATATTATATATGAATTCTTAAGTTATATAAAATCTTTCGTCTCTTAATTAAGGTGGAAAAAAAGGAAAGGAAACATGTTTTTTAGTTTTTTTTTTCTTTTTTTTTTTTTTTTTTTCTTTCATAATATTTATTTATTGCGCTACTTAAAAAACTAAGCAACAACAACATAATCAATTGTTGTAAGAGTTTAAAAGTAACATAAAAAAAAAAAAAAAACAAGAAGAAAGAAAGAATGACTTGTAAGAAAGAGAAGAAAAAGAAGAAGAAAAATACTAAAATTCAATAATTCAACAGTGTGAACAGGGAATTAAGAGGATTTGGAGAAAAGTTTTTATATAAAGATAGTAAGCTTTTCTTTAAGCTTCTATTCAGATTGTGTTTGCATCGTTGTTGTTGTTGATTTTTGAAAGATTGTGAATTTTTTTTTTTGCTTACATTTTTTTTTTTTTTTATAAAAACTTGACTATTATCTACCAACAATTTGCCTCCCCTCATGTCTAGGATTTCGGATTTGATTTCGGTGGTAATCAAAATCAAGGTGGCGGCGGTGGTGGCAGCAATAATCAACGTGGCGGTGGTGGTGGTGGTGTTGGCGGTGGTGGCAACAATAACAACAATAATAATGCTGGTAACAACAATCCATGGGAACGCCGCAGACGTTTCTGAGATGAAATGAATATGTGTGACTACTCGGTTGCACCAGACCTTTAAAAATTTGAAGACGAACAAAATACAAAAAAAAAAAAAAAAACAAAAAAAAAACAAAAAAAAAGAAAAAATAGCAAAAAAAAAGTAGAAGAAAAAAGCAGAAATAATACGAATGAGAAGAAAAATACATATAACGAATCCTGTGGTGATGTATTATTGGGAAAAGTTTCCAATACGCGCCACCATGCGTGTGACTTTAAATATGTGAAATATTATTTCCGCATATAACATAAACATGCAATTTTTAAAAAACAACTTGATTTTAATCATAACTCCCTCTTAAAAAAAAAGATATATTACACTTAGAGATTTTAGATGAGAAATTTGACTACCGAATAAAATATTGGCAATCAATTAATATATTTGTCACAAAAAGAGCATATGCGGGCGCAGCAGTATGCACGCTGAAAGCAACAGAAAATAAACAAAAAAGAAAAGCATAAAACAAAAAAACAAAACAAAAAATGAAAAGCACTATACATACCATATAATTAATAATTATATTATTAATTTATAACTAATAATTAATTTTGGGTTTTTATTAAATATTATCGAAACTTTTACCATAAATAATATGAATGGTATATAATTCCTTCAACGGCAGGAGCATTGATTTCTTATTTTGAGAAAAAGTCCGAAGAATCCTTTTTCTCGTCGTCTTGACTATCACTATTTCTCTGTCTTTTTTTTTTTTTTTTCTATCTCTCTCCCTAACTCTCTTTCTTTCTCTCCCTAACTCTCTTTCTCTCCCTAACTCTCTTTCTCTCTCTCCCTATCTCTCTTTCTCTCTCTCCCTATCTCTCCATCTATCTCTCTTTTTCTCTCTCCCTATCTCTCTATCATCCCCCTTTCTCACACGCTTACTCTCTTACTCTCACTCTCTCTGCTTGTCTCTTTTTTGGGTACTGATGAGAAGAACTTTCGAATTAATTTTAATATTATATATATATATATATTCATTCAATTAAAGTATTCGCATAGGCTTCCTTTGAAGCGAGCTTTTTTTTATATAGTTTTGTGATCTTAGATACATATGTGTTTGAGTTGACGAAACTGCATCTATCATTATTTTTTTTTTTTTTTTTGTTTTTTTAGATGTATTTTAAGATTTCTCTTAACTACTAGCAATGAAGAAAATTTCTTAACTTTTTTCTTTAATATTTTAAGAATAATTGTCATATTTAAAAATATATACATGCCTCGATGTAAAAATTTTACATAAAAGACATATAAATATTTTTCACTATATATAATATATATATATATAGCATTCATATTTGGAGTTACACTAGATATTAAACGATGAAGAAAATTTTACTCTGAAATATTGGGTAAAAAGTAAAAAAAAAAATAATTTTTATTTGTAATTTTTGTTATTTTCTCTGTAGTAGGGCAAAAAGCCGGAAAGAATATCGGTCTGAATATTTTTGTGGAATTAATCAATCTTGACACAATCTTAGCTCATTGTAAAATCAATGAGCGATTTTGAAAAACGCACTGCTTTCAATGCCAAAGAATCTAGGATGGTGTGTGCACCTACGCAAGTACACGTAATCGACTTCTCGGGTTAATCGCAAATACTTAATTAAGAAAATAGCAGGATTTAGTGGTTTTATGTAGAATACCATATAACGGGCTCGAACGGGCACGCTTTACTCCGTTACGTCGCTACCAATGTCTGCTGATTAAAACGTCCACGACAATCCGAAATTTTTTTTTTTAACATATATAATACAATACTTTTTCAATATGAAAAATTTTGTAAGACTGCTGCCGCCATAGGCATAACGCTTGCTTGTGCCAATACACAGAAATAGAGTACGTTTAACATATATGGGATGTCGGGCTGTTGCAAGGAACCACTGCGCCATATATATATGTGATCGTTGGTAGTGAATGGGTTAAATGCTTAGCAATATTCTTGTGGAATTCTTTATTTACCTGCCATTAAGAGCCAAGAATGGAAATACATACCCTACCTACCTGTATGCATCCTTTCCGATATCGAAAAAGAGAAAAGGTATATGTTGTTGTGTGCTTGCTACAAAATGTTTTGAGGTGATGGTGGTGATACCATCCCATCTTATGTTCAGCTAGAGGCTGGGGTGATTTTTTTTTTTTGATTTTATTAAAAAGGAAAAGAAATGCAAAAAATCTATTAATATTAAGTAAATCTTAAAATACGTAGCAACTTTTTTCAAAAATAAAATGAACGCGCTTGGTAACTCTAGCGAGTTTTCTTTTCTTTGCAAGTCACCATTTTGCACCTCCTAGATAAACGAAACCGCAAATATCCTATATATTCTAGTGAATATCTTTGCGTTTTTTTTTTTTTTTTTTTTTTTGTTTGAAGAATTGAAGGAGCAGAACTATGGCTTCAAATCAGACGCATTCAAAATTTGACTTTTGAAAAAAATTTTTGTTTTATCTCTTATCTGCGATGTCCGCATCAAATCATTTGGCTTGAAGGCTAGAATTTTGAAAAATTGTAATTTTTTCACATTCAACTCATTCAAAGCACCTTTCAGTGTACCAGCTTTGCCTTACTTTTGTGGATCATTTTTCGTCCTCATAATCATCTTATCGTCCCTTTGGATAATTTAGGGAAATTTTTTTAAGTCGTGTTGAAAATTATATTCAATTGTCGACGAATCTTATATACCCACCACCCACCTTCATCATTGCCTATATGCTCTGCAACGTTGGGTAAACGTGGGCGAGTTTTCCACTTTCGTACCTTTTGGCGATTACTACCCATAGAATATATGTGGAAATTGTTATTATTATATCTTGGGGGGTATGTGTAAACAATGGGTAAAAGTCAAATTTTTTCAAGTTTTGAAAACAAATTGTTTTCAGTTTATGTTACGCTATGTGCGGGTTCTTTGCCCGATGTGCCCTCTTTTCAATAATAGTGTAAGCGCGCAGGAACTTTAATTGCCCTTACCCTATTTGAAAAGTATACTTCAATTTTTGTTATCCGAAGGTATGTTCAACAAACGTAGACGGGCCGATAAGCATCGACTTTGAACTTAACACTGATATGTATATATACATATATATGCATGTATGTACATATGTATGCCTGTATGTATCTATTTATGCGAGTATGTATGCATGTATGCGTGTATGCATGTATATATGTATGCAGATATGTATATATATATATAAGCATGTCCTAGGATCTACTTGCAAATAGATAGGCGGACTGTGATAAGAAAATTTTTAACGAATTTGAAATTGAATTGAATTGACTTTAATTAATAAGTAGCGAGGAAATTTGTTGAATATGGAACTGCGTAGTCAGTTAAATTAGAATAATTCCCAGTTCACTCGTTCGAATGAAAATTGTCATTGCTAGCGAATATTCTTAACTATCGCCGTTTGTGCGTGTGCATGAAGAGAGATATTTGGAGATGTATAGCTTTATTTTCAGCTGGATAAGAGAAGAGGTATCTTCTTAGTAATGGGCCGATGTGAAGGCCTACTTCAATGCAACACTCGCAAATGAGTTGACCGGGAAGATGCTATCTATCGTTTGGTAAACGAATAATATGTAAACAACTTGCAGAAAAACGTAATGTGTGGTCTTATATCTGGACATCAGAAATTCAAAAACGTAATTTTTACATATATATATAATTTTTTGATGGTGGTGTGTTCTGATTTTAGATATTTGGAGTACTAAAAAATCGCTTCAGAGCGATAATTGTTGTTTTCAAATACTACTAATTACTTGCAACTAATAATAATTGTTTTTTTTTTTTTTCTTAACATAATACGTTTTTTAAGGTCTGGAAAAATGTCTAAGATGGATTATGATATGTTGGAAATATGGCAATGAGATAAAAAGCTATAACGCACCATATTAGGAATATTTCTCCAGAATATTGTTGTAATATGAATAAATCATTAACCAAAAAAATTCAGGATTTAAAAAAATATTTTTATAAAGTTCGTTGCCGTAAAACGAAACTTGATGCCCCCTAGCACCCGAAAGAAGAAAGACACAATTTTAGGTTTGCATGTGTATCTCCTAATGTAGATAACGTTCAGAAGGGCTGAAGATAGGTTCATATTTTAATACTGATCGATTCAGAATTATTTTCTGATTATTAATTTAAGCAGATCTGTCCTCCCTGATATCGGTCCATGTCATTTTTTCTTCGCTCCTACAAGTCGCAATTCTGGAAATGTTTTGATGGAACTTGGTATAGGGTTGCGTTTTGCTCTGGGAAGCGAACCATGTTGGAAACGTATTGATTAGACCCACTTGTACCAGTACTAGGAATCATGAAAAAAAAGTTCGCAATTTGAAGAATTTTTTGACAAAGATCACTGAGTAAGCCGGCTAACTAACTAATAGATGCAAGAAATATTGTTTGGATGGTCCGTTATTACGAATCCTCTCCTATAAAAATGTTTTTACGCGAGATAAAGTTACAACTTTAGTATCTTACAGTGAAAATTCATCCGTGGTATTGATTTGACATAGAAATTAGCCATATCAAGTTTGGGGCAGATAAGCCTATCTTTCGAGCCCCCCTCTACCCAACACAAGGATTATAATGAATACAAAAGTGTTTGACAAGATGATTAACTTTGCTGAATTTGAACCACGACAGTTCACTTTTTGAGCGGTCATATCTATGTGGGGTACCATGTTAAAGAAATATCTTTACTTCGAGTCAAGGTATAATTTGATGTTTCATCACGGAAATAAATGAGGAATTGTATTAGTCGAAGTGGTGCGGGGTATTCAATAGTCGGTCTTGTTCGACTATGTTTTTATTTGTTTTGAAAAGTCATTATATATAGAAAATACTTTTATTTTTTCAAAATTTTCTTAGAAAAGTCACTAAGTCATACTACGTCGATCGATATATTCTAAATTGTCGTGAAAAATTTGGATTGGGTTGATTCTAAGCAAACTAAGCTTTCATATTGCGAAAAGGTCAGATTGTCAATAATTTACGATGCATTTCCTCCGGCCGTAACAGTAATTTGATATGATAATAAAAAAATTTACTAAATTTGAGCCCATGTAAGTCTCACTTTTGGACCGAACCCCCCACTCACGTGAGAATTCAAATGTGAAATTTACACTTTCCGTATGACAATAGTCTTAAGTTTCAGTAGACAAAGAATAATAAGGTTTTGGGCAAGAAAATTTTTAGACCACATCATTTAACGCTTTCTGGAATCTAACCCATGAAAGGGTTAACTCAAAGAAGTCTGCCGCCGCCGTCATAGAAACAAGGTACAATCTTTTCCGTAATTTAAGAAGAAAATAATTGAAGATTTACGAAGGAAGGACAGATCGTGTTCGCGACTGACTTCACGGTTACATCTTTTATTTGTTGTTAAATTAACTAAGTTATATATGCTCATGCATATCGATATATGTGTGCTTTACGAATTAAGAAAAGCAATCTAACGTTTGGTGACTT